AGCGCCTGTGGATCAAGTGAGAGTCTGGATGAGTCTGAGTTTCTTTCAATAGCTAGTTACCGGGGAGATGGTCTACAAGTTTCGCATGTATTTTCTTGTGTATTTATTGACGTTGTGCCACTGCGCAAGATTGTTGATATCCAACAAGATGAGATAGATTAATTCGCATGCCCAGCGGAAACCGCTCAGACCTGAGCGATTTGAGGCGATTGCGGGACGGGGGAAGGCAGATAGGTAAGATACATGGGTAGCCTATGGCCATGGCGCGAGCTGCGTCGCTTTGAGAGCTGTCTGCGAACGCAGAAATCCGTGCGTATTTCTTTTCCAACTCTCGAATCTGCAAAACACCATCCGCATCGAAGACCATGTGCTTTGCCATTCGCTTCCATAGCGTGAGCTTGTCAATTTTGCATCCGCAAGAATGATCAATGGTTATTTTGAACTTCACAAGCTGCACTGACTGAAGTTGAAGTTTCATCCTAATCCAATCCAAAACAGCAAGACTGGGCCAGACACGGTAGTCTACACTCTCTGCCACCAGGGCTGGACGGACTGATGGGGAAAGCTCTGTCTAGGAGCTGCTGGCAAATATTCACACTGCAGTTCGCAGGGAGCTGAGTGTTTTGCTGTGAGAAATCATCTCGAACTATTTGCATTGCAGGGGCTAACCGGGTTAGCCTTATTATTTTGTGCAAACCAGCGTGGGCAACCTATCTTGGAGTTGGTGACCCTTGTTGTGATGATGTAGATGTGTTGTGGCATCAGCTGAATTTTGTTCATCTTCCGCGCGTGGTAGTTGGGGTGTATGATTTGAGGAAACTGCCACATCGTCTGACACTCTGCCAGATGCCCAGATGTTTTTGAAGCTGAAGGACTTTTTCACCCACACGGAGTATCGAAACGCCCGGACTCAGGATGAAACACGCTGGTGGCTGAGTAGTTTATTGCTCTCCCTTCATTTTCCACAAAATTTGAATCTGAAAGAGACATTTGTTCTGAAAAGGTCCTGGCAGCGCGTCAAAGCGCCAACCAGCCAGGTCTCACCGATGTCACTTGGCCTGTTCGCTTGATTTCTGCAGCATGTCGTATGCTTATTCAGACCGTGTTCAAGGTGTGTGAAACCATGTGAAACCAGAGTGAGACATAATCAGGTTGAGCTTTCCAGAGTGAGAGATGCATTCAAGCTCCAAGACTTGTCGGCAGAGGCGCCATGAATCATGTGGGTGTGTTCGTCAAAGCCTAGATGCACCAAAAAGAAAAGTAAAGGTGTTCAGTTGGACACAAATGGTGTTCATTTCAGCATATGCACTTGGTAATGCTTTGACCTGCAACCATGTGATCAGTCTAAAACATGTTTCAGATACCTCTGGGTTGTCACAGGAGAAACCATCTTGGGGGTCCGCTTCTTCCCGTGGCCTCTTCTTCGTCTTCGAAGGTGGGCTAAGATTAGAAAGACCTTGAAAGGCATCGCTCTCATAGGCTGGAGGCCATCGCTCTTAGGTTGGAGGCCATCGCTATTAAACACAGAAAAAAGCAAGGACGTAAGGGTCTAATATAGTTTGATAATAGGTTGGAGGCCATCGCTGGTTTGAAGTGGCGAGGTCTTGATCGCAGTGGCAAGTCCACCCAAAGCAAGAAACTCGAAGAATATTTGTCAAAGGCTGGACGGGACGTGCCCCTGGGGCGCTGCGGCCTACATATGACCGGAGAGGCTTTGCTTGTGACAGGTGGGACCTGGCCCAGTGAAATGGATGTGCTTCCCAAACCGGAAGACGCCCATTGGCAGCGCCATTGATCTTTACTTGCGGAGGTACGCACTGTCTGCCGCTGTTTTGACAGTTCTCATGTTTTCCAACTTGTCAACCTGTCCGCTTTAGGCAACTGGAGCTTCCAGATGAAGCGGTTCATCGACTTTTCAGTGTGCGGATCGAAGAGATTCATGAGCAAGACTTAGTGACTCAACTCAATGATTCATTGAGCATGCGAGGCCAATCGCTGGGAGATGGCTAAATCCATCGTCGAGGCAAGACCTAAATCGAACACTTCAAGCACATTCTTGTTAATTTACAAGGAGCCAGGTCCTCAAACACGAAACACATTCTTGTTCTTACATGTTCTTACCCCTCTCCATGGAGCCTTGTGCTCCAGGACCTTCGTGCTGGTACCACCATCATTTGCGACCGCTACGCCTTCTCTGGGGTAGCGTATTCTGCGGCAAAAGGCCAGTGATATTAGATTCTGTTTGCACGAATCATCCAAAATCATCCATTCTTTCCAGGTTTGGACTTTTCCTGGTGTCAAGCTCCAGACCGAGGGCTTCCATGTCCAGATGGAGTTTTCTTTCTGTACATCGACGAAAAGGCAAGCGTCAATTGACTAATGATCAGGTCATATCAGGTCATGCTGGTTTCCACCACATGTGCTAACAGGTTGGTGCCTCGCGATCAAACTTTGGTGACGAGCGTTACGAGAATGCAGACATGCAGGCATTGCAAAAGGTGTTAGTAGTGTCAGTGAAATCAAGCGAAGTCCAATCTCTGTGACACAATTACACAGTGTTCTCAGTTTTTCTCCTTTCCTTTCGCGGAGGCTACTGTTCGCACTCAGTTCAAGGATGCTCGACTTCGAGCACAAGTGAACTGGAGAGATGTGGATGGAGCACGGGACATGGAGGCGCAACCGTCCTGCCATGCCATGTTTCATTTGTTTTCCCCTTGGCTTTCCTTTATGCAGCACTCTTTTGGGATAGGAGTCTTGGAGCAAGATGGAGCAAGTTTTGTTAGGTGATTCACGCGGAGATTCGAACAGCTGTGGAAGCAATCCGACAGGAGGATCAGGACGGGGATGGGGACGAATGCAGTTGATTGAACATGTTGAGAAAGACGCTGCTTTGAGGAGAATCGACAGCGCCCAATCCAGCGCCTGTGGATCAAGTGAGAGTCTGGATGAGTCTGAGTTTCTTTC